CTTATTTTTAAAGTATTTTCTTGCTTGTTTTAAAATGTCTTTTTAATTTTTATTTTTTTAAGAGAGAGAGAAGAAGGGAGAGGGAGAGAGAGAAACATCAGAAACATCAATCAATTGGCTGCTTCCTGCATGCCCTGCACTGGGGATTAGAGTCCACAAACCCGGTCATGTGCCCTGTCAAACCGTGGACCTCTTGGAGCCTGGGTTCAACCAACTGATTAATGTAATGTCATTATTGCAACAAACTGCTATATAGATATGCTTTTATTTTTTCAAAGAAATATATTAATGGAACAGAATATTATTGATTCAACATTCTTTTCCTCTTTTGTATTATACTATTTATTTTTACTGATGATTACATACAGAAAGTTCAATAAAAGAATATTTTCACTGTCTGCATTTCTTTTCTCAAGATTATTATTAGTATTATTCATTGCATTTCATTACTATTATTGAAAATAATGTTACTTAGAGGAGGTGAGTGTTTAAAAATGATCTGTTCCGAGTGACAAATAAGCTAGGTAGGCCACTCATGCACTGAAGAAAAGGAACAGGGAATTAGGAGAGCTCTGAGGAGGCAGACAGAGGTGGAGATGCTGCAAAGGGTGGGAGAAGGGGTTGCACAGCACCTGTGTGGGGACTCAGTGGGCCTCACTGAATGGAAGCCGGCTCAAGACAGAGAAAGTGGGGGAGCAGACCTCAGGCCAAGCTTACCCTGGTGGACCAGGTAAGTCTGTTGTTTATCTTGAGAGTAATGGGGACACTATTGAAGGGTGTTAGGAAGGCAAGAGACATAATCAAATCTGTGACTACAAGTCCTATCACTCTGGCTGCAGGGAGGAGACCTGGTAGGTTCAGGGACGAGAAAGGAGGCTGGGCAGGTGCCCAGATGAGAGATGATGGTGGCAAGAACCTCATCATCTATCTACTACAGTCTGGATTGAACAGCTCAGAGGTGAGCCCAGCCTTGAACTCCTGTGGCCTGTAAGGTTTAGACTCTGGGCACCCATTTGAAAGGATTTGGGGTAATCTGTGTGTAAGGACAACCACAGTTCAGTGGCAGACTGCAGTTTGGGGTTTTCTTTCCCAAAATTGTACTTGCTTCTCTGGGCTTCCATAGGAGTTTGAGTGCACTCATCATAGAACACTGACTTTGATCCATTCAATAAATGGGTATTGAGCACCTACTGTGTGCCAGGGAATCTCCTAGGGATAAAGCAGTAACCAAAGACAAACATCTCTACTTCCTGGAGCTGACATTCTGGTGTAGAGGAGAAGTCGAAAAACAAGTAAACAAGTAACATAATTGCAGATGTGGTAGATGTTATGAAGAAGAGAGGAAGGGTGACGAAAGGGAAGAAAGCAACCAAAACAAAGACACTTGATAATACCAAACTTGGGACAGGATGTGGATGAACAGGGTTTCTTGTATGTTGTTGGTGGAAAAGTAAATTGATACAACTTGGAAGTTTGGCATTACCTTGTAAAAGTTAGCAATCATATGTCTTCAGATGTGCAACCGTACTTTCCATGATATACGTGGGAGAACTTCCTGTCCTTGAGCACCAGGATTGTTAACAGTAACACTCTTCATAAGAGCAAAAATCTGGCAATAATTCAAATGTCTGTGGGCAGGAGAATGGATAGGAAAATTGTGTATATCCCACAGGAGGAAAATGAATGTACCCCACACAGGTGTGATAATGTAGATGAATTTTAGCACTATAATAATGAGCGTGAAAGTAAATACCAGAATATTGCATAGAGCATACTTTGGTAAAGCTAGAGAATATATTTGTAAGAAAAACATTTTAAAAAGTAAGAAGAGAAAGGAGACCACATAGAGAGTGGTCAGGGCAGGTCTCTCTGGACAGTCCTATTTAAACTGAGGCTACAATGAGATGGTCCAGCCATGTGAGGATAGGAGTGAAAATTTTTGTGGGCAGAGGAGACAGTGTGTACAAAGGCCATACAGTGGGCCCAAGCCTTCTGTCTTTGAGGAACATCCAGGAGGCCAGTACGCTTATAAACTATAATAATAATAATAATAATAATAATAATAATAATAGCAGCAGCAGCAACAGGATCAGAGTAAGACATTTGAGCAGCCCTGCGCATTTAAAAGATGGCTGTATCCATCATGTCATTTAAAAATAAAATTAATATTAAATGGAAAAAGTGGAAAAGTGTTAGAAAAAAATTGAAAGCTTTTCTTTTCCCCATGACCACTCTTTGATACCTTTATTTGGGGTCAGGCAGGAATATGTTTGTGTTTACATCCATTATCCCACTTAATTTGTAAAACAACCTTATGAGAAACTGCTTTTTCCCCATTTTAAGATCAGCAAAGGAGGTACCAAGATATGACTACAGTAATTCTGACTCCATTGAGCACTGAACCGGCCAGGCTGCCGTTGTGAATGTTCAAACTCGGGAATAGCATGACTTCATCGTCGTCCAGTAAGTCGGCGAAGGAAGCATTTGCTAAGAGCAGGCCCTGCTCCTTTGGAGTGTCCTGTGCCTTTAAGAGTCACCCCCTCCCGCCCGCGATGCTCCAATTTCCCTCCAGGGCACCCAGAGCATCACCCCGCCCCCCGCTTCGGCGTAGCAACCCCTCCTCCACGCCCCACACCCTCGGGCTGGGCTCTCAGCCCCAACCCGCCGAGTGGAGGGTGAGGTCTGCAGCCAGAGACAAGTTCCCTCCGCCCGGACGGTGCCCACCCACTGCGCCCCAGCAGAATGCCATTTTAGAGCCCCTAATTCCCACCCCTTCCAGCAACCGATTCCGAGGGGCTGGGCCTCAACGCCTTCTCTCCTCGCCCAGGTGCGGGTCGCCGTGAAGGTGACCTCCCCCGGGGTGAGCACACACCCCGCAGTGCCCGCGCGGGCTCACACGTGGTGAGCGGGGAGCGCGCAGCCCCTCCCCGCCACGCGCCTCGAGCGTGCGTCCCCGACACGCCCCTCGGCCTGGCGCCGCCCCTGTGCACGCGCTCGCCACTCCGGACCTCGGAGGTGCGTCGCGCCCTTATCCCGCAGCACAAGGGCTGCGGTGTGTGCTGCGACCCGGTGACGGGGCACCCACACATCCTCGAACCTCGCCCGAGGACTGTGAAAAGCGGAAAGTCCGCCTGCTCGGGATTTGGCTGGTAGGCGAGGTGCCCGGGCCCTTGTGCGCTGAGCAGGAAAAAGCTGGCACCGCGAGCCTAGGTTTCGAGCCCTAGTCCACACATCCTCAGTGTTTCGTACATTGAAGAAGCGTGATATTCCCCCTTTTCTCAGGATCTACTGGCACTTCGCACAAGATAAGAAATATGAAAGGGCTCATTGGGTCCAAAAGCATTCGTTGAGCCCGAGCGGCTGGACCCTGTCTGTACTGGCAGGGACTACATCTATGGCACGATGAGTCTGTCCCCTTAAGGAGCTTTTCTGAGCCTGGCTCCCCAACATTCTGTCCTGGGATGGTCCGAAGACACACCCCGAAAGAGGAGAGGGCGGAGGTCCCACCTGGCAGCAGGTGTCCTCGAATAAACTAAAATTTCAAAGGCATGGCGGGGCGGGGGTACCAGCTTTCGGAGCCAGAGGGGAAGCATGATCGGCGCCCCCCCTCCACCCGCCCCAGCCCCCAATCTAAGAAAAGAAACCGATCTCATCCGACACCCCCAATCCCAGACGCGAGACCGCCCCGCCCCGCCCCGCACTGGCAGCCAGCGATTGGGAGATGCAAATACCGGGTTCTCTGCCCAGCAACGGGTGACGCGCCGCCCGAGCGCGAGGCGTGGCCCGGCCGCAGCCCAAAGCGGGCAACTTCGGTGTTTACACGGGGCGGGCCCCGCGCGCGCCGCAGCTGTCCCGAAGACGGCGAGGGGGGAGGTGCGTTGCCCCGCTGGCGGGGCCGCCCGGGGAGAA